AATATCCAGAATCTACAAAGAACTAAAACAAATTTACAAGAAAAAAACAACCCCATCAAAAAGTGGGCAAAGGATATGAATAAACACTTTTCAAAAGAAGACATATATGAGGCCAACAAACATATGAAAAATGCTCAATCATCACTGGTTGTTAAAGAAATGCAAATCAAAACCACACTGAGATACCATCTCATGCCAGTTAGAATGTTGATCATTAAAAAATCTGGAGACAACAGATGCTAGAGAGGATGTGGAGAAATAGGAACACTTTTACACTTTGGTCGGAGTATAAATTAGTTTAACCATTGTGGAGGACAGTGTAGCAATTCCTCAGGGACCTAGAAATAGAAATTCCATTTGACCCAGCAATTGCATTACTGAGTATATATCCAAAGGATTATAAATTGTTCTGTGATAAAGACACATGTACACATATGTTCATTGCAGTGTTTTAGAAACATCGAAGTCATGTAGGAGGGGAATAACAACTAACATTTATTGGGTGCTTGTGAACATGTATGTTACTGTTTACAATAGCAAAGACCTGGAACCAACCCAAATGCCCATCAATGATAGACTGGACAGGGAAAATGTGGCACATATACTCCGTGGAATACTATGTAGCCATAAAAAATGATGAGTTCATGTCCTTTGTAGGGACATGGATGAATATGGAAACCATCATTCTCAGCAAACTGACACAAGAACAGAAAATCAAACACCACATGTTCTCAATCATAGGTGGGTATTGAACAATGAGAACACGTGGACACGGGGAGGGGAGCATCACACACTGGGGTCTGTTAGGGGGGACTAAGGGAGGGACAGCAGGGGGTGGGGAGCTTGGGGAGGGATAACATGGGGAGAAATGCCAGATATAGGTGACAGGGGGATGGAGGCAGCAAACCACATTGCCATGTATTATCTATGCAACAATCCTGCATGTTCTGCACATGTACCCCAGAACCTAAAGTGAAATTTTATATATATATAAATTTTATATATATATATAAAAGTATGTGTTTTCTTAGATAAAACCTCTAATTGGACAATTGTATGTCTTCTGGCCTTATACAGACTTATGACTTTGAAAGCTGTTAAACCAAAAGCTCAATGAATGGGATATATTTATTTCTATGGCACTCTGACTCATGTTGTTGACCCAGCTTGGGAGTGGGGCTTGCATGACTTGCTAATTTCTCTTTGCCAGGTGGTTGTTACTGTGCATGCACCCTTGGAGAGCCACAGCCAGTCGTCACTGAAGCCCCAGTGAAGGGCTTCTGGCTGCCTAAAATACTGTCCTGTACCAAGATTGATTTTCCAGGAAAAGAATATGGTGCTTGGGAATTTCTCTGTGAGGCATTACATTTTTCTCTAAAACATTGAAAGTTCATTTTATCAGGGCTTTTTAGTCCTCATAGAAAACTCTTATGATCTGGGTTGAAAGCATCTGACTTCAAGGAAGGGTGGATTCCTGGCTGATGAGCATTTCCTTTGGGTACCCAATTCCAAGAACTCTTCTGAAAGTAAGTAATGGAGCTACAAAGACATTTCCAAACCAAAGTCACAATGTATAAAGGTGCAAACACAATAGAAAGTTAGTTCTCATTCACATTTTAGTCCAAAGCTAACATTTCTGGTCAGTGAATAGCTCTATTCCATCCAATGATTCAGGAATCCAGGCTCATTCCATCTTAAGGTTCCACTGTACTAAGAAAGAGAGAGCACAGATTATGGAGGTTGGTTAGCTTCAGTAAGGGAAATGTGCCAAAACTGAAGCCATAAAAAATTAAATGTGATATGTAAATAGAGTGCCAATGGGTCTAGTACCTGGTCAATCATGAGGGCTGTCATTGTCTTTGTAAATCTCCTGCCCTTAGATCAGTGTCTAGCATGTAATAGGTGCTCAGTAAGTGTTTGTGAAGAGAATGAATGAATATCCTACCAGTTCTCTTCCCTTCTTCCCTGACTTGGGTCACCTGACAGAAAGGCCAAATTCCTGGTCAATTATTTCGGGCCACTTCAAAGATACATCTGTTGGGTCCAGAGTCTAGTGGTTAGTCAAATGTTCCTCCTCCTGCCCCCACAAAATTCAGAATTAGTTACTCATCCATTTTACAAATTGCTTTCATTGAAGAGAAATTTAAAATTATATACATTTGGGAGTATCCAAAGCAATCTTGTGTATGGGTGTTGTACCCAAGGATCTCTGATTAGCAGTTCCCTTAGAGGGCATCTAGGCCCACAACTGCAAAAATGACCCAGCTCATGAGCCAACTCCCTTGGCAGTGGCTTCCTAGAGTTGAATTCTGAAGGCAACCATGCTGTGATTGATTAGTAATGTCTGCCATAGGCAGAGAAAAGGAAAAAAACAAGCAAAGTCCTGTGTAACTTGCTAGATCCTAACATATATATAGGGCAGGCATTCAAAAACAAGAAGAGGTACACAACTACCATTGGAGACATAGGTTGGAGGGACTAGAAGGTCACTGGAGGCAGAATGAAAAAGGGTAGAAAATGGTGGAAGGTCTGCTGGAAAATTATTTTAGAAATAGAGAATTTAAGAGAGCTAACTGCTAGGAACTAGCCAACTATTGCAACTACCTCTGAGAAAAAAGAAAGGAGTGAGAGCATGGGGTGTGATGTGATTTGGAATCTGAGACTGACATGCTTCCTGCTGGGCTTCTTCAACCTCATTTGTGCCAGGTTAGAGGGGGGGAAAGGAGCCTGTTGTCCTTGCCCAGTGTTTCTTTCCATGTACCATGAGGTAGTTGCATGAACTCAATGGGCAATAGGTAGATGGCGGGGGCTCTCCTAGGCCTCTGGGATGCCTCCCATGGAGATCTGAGCACAGAGGATGCTGTTCAGCCCCTGAGCACCATGGTCATATCTGGTGCTTCCTCTGTGCCTCCTTTGTGCTGGCTGCTGGTGGTCCAAAGACATTGAATCACAGCCCCTAATCCAGGTGAACTCACAGTCTAGAGGGAGATAAAGTTCTATATTTCTTGGATCCTAGGATGATATTGGTTTCAAAACAGTTTAGCTGTTTAATGACAGCATTTTAGGAAAGAAAAAAACAACAACAAACAAACAAAAAACCTCCCAGCTTAACCAGAAGCAGATTGTAGGAGCTATCCTGATTTTACCAAAGTAAAAATGGGACCACCTGCGTGTTTTTTTTAATCAAGGAAATAAATTCAATCTGTGGTTACAGTACAGGGTGATCTGTGCTGTGATGTGGAGACTGCTGGGGAAGGTGTGGTTGATTCTGTCTTGCAAGGGAGATCAGAAAGTTCAGGGCCCTGGAAAAGGAACATCTGAGGAGGAATACGCCAGGCTGACAAAGTGGGAAGGGGATTCCCAGCAGTGGGAATGGCATGGTCAAAGGAACAAGGCATATCCATATGCACAATAGCAAGAGTATGTGCAGGTGAGCCTGGATAGACAGACAGACAGGGTGCAAATGGTGAAGGGCCTCTACTTATCTAGAGCAGCAGGTGGGAAGTGAAGTTCTGCCAAGAGAGAGCCACAGCAGCTTTCAGAATGGGGACCCAGAAGCTGATCAGCCATCACAGCCCCATCTCCTTCAGCTGCTCCCAGCGTGGGAGCACAGATGCTTGGTAACCAAGGGATGGTCTATTTAAAGTCACCTGCGAGTTGGTTCGAGAAGGCTCACTCTAGGGTAGAGAAGGAGAGAGGAAAGGGGATGTCAGGAAGAAGAAGCACCCGAGGGGGCTCAGGAGGCAGGATTCCAGCCTTGGCTCAACCCTGAGCTCACTGTGGGGCCCAGGGAAAATTTCTGCCTTTCTCTGTGCCTCAACTTCCTCAGTCTCGTGTAGTGGTGAATTGTCAGGTTCAGGAGCCAGCTGTGTGGGTCCCAAGCTGGGCTTCCTCACTTGTGGTCTGCATGCACTGGTCAAATTACTTAACCACTGTGCCTACATTTTCTCCTCTGTAAAACTGAGATAATAATAGTACCTACATTTTAGAATTGCTACAAGGATTAGATGAGGTAATGCGTATAAAGCATTTATAACAGTGCCTGGCACACGCTAAACACTCAAAATCAGCTATTTTAAAAATTATGATATGATGATGGTGTTGGACTAGCTTAGTGGTTTTTAAACCTTAATCCTTAGAACCTTTCTCCGAACATATCTGGAACTTCAGTGGGTAAAATGGTCACACTGAGCAATTCTGGCTGGAAGGTGAAGACCCTGAGCCTTGCCCGTTTAGCATCCCTCTCACCAGGGCTGCCTCCCAGCTCCCTGCACCCCAGGCACCTCTGCAGAACCTTTAAGCTCCAGGAAACCCAGATTGAAAGCAATTGTCCCAGAGGAACTCTGAGGTCCCTTTCAGCTGCTCCTTTTAATCTGATTCTCCTGAAGCTTGAGTTTACACCTTGAAAAGCTGTCTTTTACAGCTCAAAATCCATTTTCCAAAAGCATTAACTGAGCCAGGCCCTGGGGGACAGTGTGGTAAAGGCAAACCAAAGGAGATCTGGAGATGTGAGGAAGGGATTTGAGCAACAATCAGATGGCAAAAGCCCACAAACAAGCAAATACCACCATTATGGTTTTTCTTCTTTAAGTCAGATCATTTTTATTCAAGAAATTTCACATGCTGTGATTCATTCCACTGCCCATCAGGGTCACCCTAGTACCTCCAAAACTTGAGTCAAGATTTGTCTTCAAGACAGGCCTTTCTAAAGATATTCATGCTTAATCCAGAGTTATTCTGTCAGACAGCCTTCTCATAATTTTCTTAGTTTGGTTTCTTTTGTCTCCACTTGAATACAGACATGCTGATAAAATACTTTAAAAACTTCCTACCTAGAATCTTTGGGGTCTACTTGGTCAAGTAATTCACTTTAGGGCCCTAGAAGTTGAATTGTAGAAAGCATATTGCTATTTTGGCTAATGAGCAAAAACGTGTTATTCTTTAATATTTCTCTAATGTTGAAGTTGTGTTGCATCCATTTTCACTCATGACCTTAGCAGAAATGTGACAGGCCTCATTGTCACCACTGCGATGTGTTTGCTGTGATGCAAGCATAGCTTATATCTCAATGTGGCCCCATTAACCATCTCTGGATGGCATGATCAACAGTGCCTATTCTCCTTGAGAATGGGACGTTACCATCACAGTTTTTAGGATCAGCTATGCAGATGTGACTGCCTTCATTTGCCACAGTCCAGGATAGTTTCTCATTTGTTTGTCTCTAGACAGTCAGGTGCTGTCATTGCCCTGTGTGCAGTGTGCCACGGTTGTCTCTTCTCCACTTAGGAAATGTCTTATTTCCTCACCTCTAATCCCTACCACAGGATGTGAGGAAAGCAGATGAGCAACAAATCAATATTGGATCTATCAAAGGGAACTGAATATGGCACCCCTATGTGGCCTGCTCCAAGCTGGATTCAATGATTACCCAAACAGATGTAGATCGTGACCATGCAGATGTTATTGTCTGGGGGTGGGGGTGGGGGAGATCAATTAGTGTAAGTGTGATAGGGATCAGGACTTGAAAGATAAAATTCCAAAGTCCAGAACAACCACTGTGGGACCCTAGAACCCACAAAAGGTAGGGATTTGCCTTCAGGATCTGCTAGGGCTGAGCCTTGGGAGGACCCTGCAAAACTTCATGCTGAGATCCTGAAATGGGAGATCTCTTTGCTTCCCGAGACCCCAAGAGCCACTGCAGAAGTCTACCTGACTTTCCAGTATATACAGAAGGCTGGCTGCTTGTTGTGTACGCTGTCGTAATTACACATGCACTTTGGACGTTGGCCATTCAGCTTCCAAGGCAGGCTATGTAGGCCACAATGAGCAGAAGCTAAGGATACAAGCCCAATCCACAGTTAAGTCCTGACCCCATCACACTTATTGATCTTCCCTCCCAGAATAACATCTGCATGGCCAGCATCCACATATGTTTGGATCATCACTGAATCCAGCTTGAAGCAGGCCACATAGGGATGTCCACATTCATCCCTTTGGTTGATTCAATATTGATTTGTTGCTCATTCAGAGCCTATCTGCATTGACTTCATCTTTTCCTCTGCTTTTCCTTCATCTACATCTTCCTCTGGTCACATGCCAGCTGCTTCAGCCACCTGGGACTTGTCACTGTTCTCTAATTCTACTGCTTAATGATCAGGTGCTCTCGCCTGGAATATCCTTTCCTGCATTGCTGCCTCCTTCCACACCTAGTAAGCTCCTACTCAATCCTCAAAACAATTCCAAAAGCCACCTCCTCTAGGAAGACTTCCTAGATCACCTCAGAATTTTTTATTGCTCCCTTTCCTGTCCTCTCATAGAACTTACACAGCATGTGACATTCCACTTGAATTTGAATTATATTTTTGTCATTGTCCCCATTATGTTATGAAGCTTGATGTGAGCAAAGATTTTTATCTTACCAGTCTTCATACTTGAATGTTTGGGGGAAGTCCACGAACTTGGACTTTTTAATTCCTAGGTCTCTCTGGGTATGCACACTTAGACAAGTGATCTAATGTGTCTGAGTTTCACTATTCCCATGTGTAAAATGTGGATTTTTAAAAAAATACCCTTTTATCACCAGTTTATTGTGAGCATTAACTAAGATGACTTGTGTGAAGTAAAAATAAAAACAAAATAATAGTAATAAGAGCTGATGTTAACTAAGTGCTCATTTAGGCACTGCTGTAAGCTCTTTACAAGTAGCGCATTTAAAACATTTTTAAAGATTTTGAAATATTGATAGATTTGCAGGAAGTTGCAAAGATAGTACTGAGAGATCCCATGTAAAGATAGCTCCGAGAGGTCCCTTTCACCTGGTTTTCTCCAATGGTTACATGTTACATAATTATAGTACAGTATCACAGCCAGGTAATTGACTGTGTGAGTATAGTTCTGTGTCCCTTTCTCACTTGTGTAAATCTGTGAGAATCTTACACAGTCACCACCACAATCAAGATACAGAAGTCTCACATTTCCACAACGATTTCCCTTGTGCAGCCCCTTCAAAGTCACACCCACCCTTCTCCCTTCTGCCACCCCCAGCCCCTGGCAACCAACTATTAGTATGTTTTCCATCTGCAAAATTTTGTCATTTCAACAGTGTTATCTAAGTGGAATAACAAAGCATGTGACCTTTTAAGATTGGCTTTTTTTCCCCACTCAGCCTAATGCCTTTGAAATCCATTCAAGTTGTCTGTCGATAGTTCATTCCTCTGTTCTTGGTGAGTTATGTTTTGTGGATATGCCACCAATATACCACTGATATACACCAATATACATGATGGCACAACTGATACATGACTGACAGACCATGGTTTAACCAGGAAAAATATCTGGGTTGTTTCCAGTTTTTGGCATTGATATATAACACAGCTATAAATATTTGTGTATAGATTTTTATTTGAATATAAGTCTTTATCTCACTGGGATAAATGCTTGGTGGGGGGCCATTGTTGAGTTTTATGGCTAGTATATGTATAGTGTTTTAAGAAGGAGTCACACTGTTTCTGAGAGTGGCTGTACCATTTTACATTCCCACCAGCTATGTGTGAGTGATTCAGTGTTTCTATATCTTTGCTGGCATTCGGTGTTGTCACTGTTTTATCTGTTCTAAAAGGTATGTAGTGACATCTTATCATGGTCTGACTTTGCATCTCCCTAATAGCTAGAGATGTGAAGCATCTTTTCACTGCTTGCCATCTGGATATTCTCTTCAGTAAAATGTCTCTACGTGTCAGTTACCCATCTTCTGATTGGATTGTTCATTTGTTTTTTAATGTGGAGTTTTGAGTATTCTTTATATATACTAGATATGGGTCCTTTGCCAGCTATGGGATTTGCACAATTACCTCATTTAACCCTTTCAACAACTCATGAAGAGGACACTAGGATTATCCCAATTTAATAGAGGAAGAAGTTGGGACAGTGAGAGGTTAGCACTGTGTGTGACGCACAGCAGGTTTCCAGGGAAAAATCACAGTGAGTTTCATGCAGATGGAGCTCAGACCAAAGGTATAACTCAAGGTATCTTGGTGGAATGGGGGAGCTGTTGGAGATAAGGAAGAGGACTGAAAGTGAAGGCCAGCAATGAGTAGAGGGACTTCATACCAGGCCATCAGCCCGTTTAACAGGTTGAGGAGTTGAGGCAGAAGCACTAGAACAGATTTCTACATGTCTGGAAGTTTCATTAAGTCTGTGAAAATTGTGTCTCTTTTGAACTGCATTCTACTTTTCTCCTGTGCAGCAAGGTTTGATGGTAGCTGACCAGTTTCTACTTAGGGGACTTTTTTTTTTTTAAAGAAGGGATTTCTCCCATTCCTTCTCTTTCCAGGGCACTTGGGAGCAGGCTGCTGCTGTCATGGAAAACACAAGAGTCAGAATGCCAGTTGTCAGTCCCAGCATGGTAGTGAATAGTGTGGGAATTGAGTGCAAATAATTTCCCTAGGCTTTCCATCTCCATACCTGTAAAATGGGAGTAACAGCAGTAGCTAGCTGGCAGAGTGGTTGTATAGATTAAATAGAGAGGAGAGGTGGAGAACGAGGGCGTTGGTAACACTTGGGTTCAGAGTGGAACTCTTTCCTTTCCAGCTGTGTAAACTTGAGCAGGGTGCTTAACTTTTCTAAGCCTCAGTTTTCTTATCTGAAAGATGGAGAAAATCACAGTTCCTACTTTATCGGCTTGGTGTGAGGATGAAATGAGATATTGCACATAAAGCACTTGCATAGATCCTCTCTTAAGAGGAACATGATTAATAATAACTAACATGTCTCAAGAGTTTACTTTGTGTCAGAATCTGCTTAAGTTCATCAAAATTAAGGTTAAACACCAAGACAAGGACTTAGGTGCAAGAAATTTATGTGAGAGGGAATCCCAGGAAGCAATGTGAGAGAGCAGGGAAGTGAGATGGGAGGAGTTGTTTTGGTGGGCAATAGGGGCTCAGTGCTACTGGGCACCCTCTTAGAGACTGTGAGAAATGCCCCTCAGAATCTCCACTGTGGTGTTTATCCACAATCTTCCAGGCCTCATTGGTGGAGGATCATTCCTGGGGCATTCACTCCACCACCTTTGACCTGCCCTGTGCTTGAGCTAAGCATATAACCATGACCAGGGAGCATCCTCAGGAGAAAGACTCAGGAAGGCATTGGCACATACAAGGAACTGAACTACTGGGGCTTTGGGGTTGGCTGAGGGGAAACTGATGAGCGCTAGCAGTGTCTGCTACACTACTTTAAGCACTTTAGAATATTAACTCATTTACTTCATGCAGCAACATGAAAATGTTCTATTATTATCCGCATTTTATAGATGAGGAAATTGAGACACAGAGGGGTTTTATAACCTGATCAAGGTTCTCCAATCAGTCTGATTTCAGAGTCTGCATTCTTTTTATATTTTTATTTTTTGAGACAAGATCTCACTTTGTTGCCCAGACTGGAGTGCAACGGCATGATCATTACTCACTGTAGCCTCAACCACTTGGGCTCAAGTGATTCTCCCACCTTAGAGCCTCCCAAGTAGCAGGGACTACAGGCACACACCACCACTTCCTGCTAATTAAAAAATAATAATTTTGTAGTGATGGGGTCTCACTATGTTACCCAGGCTGGTCTCAAACACCTGAACTCAAGCAATCCTACCACCTTGTTCTCCCAAAATTCTAGGATTACAGGCATGAGCCACCATGCCTGGCCAGAGCCTGCATTCTTAACCAGTGGCTTTTGAGAAGTTTTGACCATAATTCTCAGTAAAAAATATATTTTACATCATAATTCAGCTTCCAAACACACATACACTAAAGAAATCAAAGATTCCTATAACAATGTTCATCTGTACCACGTACAATACACTCTGAAATTTTCTGTTTTTTTTTTAAATCACATGATTTTAAAAATGGTATTAGTCACTCACTAAATTGTTTTCATAACCCAGTAACGGGCTGCAACCCACAGTTTTGGAAAAGACAGTGCTCTAAAATTCTATTTTATAGGACAATATTGATGTTACAAGCCTGGCATGGGGAATGGTATGGGGTAGGTGCCCAGAAAAGGTTGGTTTCCTTGTGTGCCCTTTTTGGCAAACCAGAGCTATGAGCTGCTACCTTCTAGGCTTACATATGGAGACCTGGGCTGGACC